GTATTTTATTACAGTTGCGGATCTTGACAACTTTGACAAGGGGCCAAGATATTAAAAAGTTGGGGAAGAATTTTCAACAAAAACTTGATGATCGGGGAAGAACTTCCAACGAAAACTTGGTAACCGGTGGGGGGATTTTCACAAATTTGTTACAAACGAAAAATTTTTGTATTTAGGGGGAGGCAACTTTTCTGCTAATGGACTTATAATATCAATTTTCGCAACAGCTTCTTCCATTAAAATAACGACTTTTACTTAACACACAAATAATGCACACATCGTCCCTTCCTCCCTAGATAAATACACATGAATACAATATGCGAGTGCATTGAAAATGGTTCATAATAGCCCTTGGAATTTAATTTATTCTTCAGAATGCTAACTGAACTGAATAATTATTAATTAATATTAAGGCGAAAAAGCCAAAAAAGAGAAAGAACCAACAGTAGTAAATGGTTGTTTGGTGAACAATCAAGGGATATTAATTGCAATACTAACACTGCTTATTTTAAAATAATCAGGCTATGACAAACACAGACTCTATGACAAAACGCGAAAGGACGTGTGAAAATATAATGTAACAGAAAATAAAAACATTAACAGCATAGTTATAGAGCACCACAACAAGCGACTGATGAGAAATTAAATGTAATATAATGGCAATATAAAAAATATAATATTTATTGGTTGAGCTAGAACAAATAAATAAGTTAGAAAAATAAATGGATAGATGATATGAAAAACAGACTGACAGACTGACAGACAGACAGACAGAAAAGCGAATAATTAGATAAATAAGCAAATAAATAAAAAATAAATATATTAATAATTAACAAATACATAAATATTACAAAAATGAATGAATGACTAAATATGTAAGCAAATTTTTATAATATAAAGTGCAAATCGATCGAAAGATGTTATTGACTAATGATCTATTTTGTTCTCTTTGATGGCTTTATCTTAATAGGTTAATTGGTGGTTTGACACTTATGTTTGCGTTAAAGAAGGTTGTAGTGATTCTAATAGCACCACGTACCACCACCACTTCTACTACTACTACTACTACTACTACTACTACAACTCCTACCGCAAAAAAATTTAATGACGAAATGAACATTCATGAAATCAATCAACGATTGCCGTAATAAAAACATAAAAATCAATTTGCCAAACTCAATGAGAAAATGAAAAACAGTAAAAAATCAAACTTTCAAAATATTTACATACAATATACCAAAAAACATTGAATTTAATATTAATATACTATAAAATAAATAATCTTCAAACTGATCGTGAAATATGTTGAGTTGTTTAAGAGCACTCGACAAAATATATAATGGTTCATGTCTCGGCCAGCTGTTGAATGAAGAAGTTATGTATGCCTGTAAACTTCATGAATGAGCCCTTGAGCCACATGTGAGCGACGAGAGTGGATGGCGGTGAAGCTAATGCGATTTGTTTGATAATAATTTGCAATTCAATTGCCGCCGAGTCCAAAATAGCGTTACGATTTTGGGAACGTTGAATAATTATAATAATAATTATTATTATCATATATATTATTAGTTTTATTAAATTTCGCCGCTAGGCTTTTTTAAGTATTTCAATTTGACATTAATCGACTTAACTTGGTCTGACCAATTTAACAATAGTCTCATGTACTCTGCAGTATCGTCATCGTATGCCATTTATTGCGTCAGAAATACTAATTGAATGCATCATTTAGAACTAATCTTTTCTTGTTGTACGCATTCTTCTTTAGGATGTCGAGCTTCGTAGAATGTTTTAATTTTTAATTTTAAAACAATTTTACTTTTATTAAATTTTAATTCATTAACAATTCTTTTTAACGTGTGATTTATGATGAAAATAAAATAATGTTTCCATAACGATGATAATGAGGTCAAAATGATGGTACCAGTACTGAAAATGTGTTAAATATTAATACCGAAGAGAGTCAACCCAGAAATCTCTGTAAAGGAGCAGGGAGGTGGGAGTTTGTATTTTGTAAATGAAGATGACAATTTTGTTTGCTCTGTTCCACATTTATTCTACAGTTTTTCAATTTGAATCGGTGTGTTATTTATAAAATAAAATCTAATCAAATGCTACGGTCGTCGAAAAACTGGCAGAGTTTTCAGACCAAATTGGTGTATAGATTTTGTCGAATTTAATCTCAAATCTAGCTAAATTTTCTATTGTGAGGAGCTTTGTTTTGTAAACATGTACATGAGATACCCCATCAACAAACTCCTCCTCAAGTTGTTAAACTTAGCTTCCATTCAATTTTTATTTTAATTTTAAATCAATCATGCTCTCGTAATTTCACCCAGCAGACGAACAAACCATCAAAGCGCCGATGATGAACCCCAGCAGTGAGCCAGCCAGCACATCAGTCGGATGATGCTTGTAATCTGATATCCTGGATAGGCAGACGAAGACAGCCGTGTTGGCGAGGACGGCCTGGCAGGTGTGCTTCAGCAGGGCGGTCATCCTGTGCGTCCATCTCGATTGCAGGTAGATCTGCGGCGTTCATTCACATTCAATTTGTTCACACTAGTATACAACATGCCATGACCAAGGTGTATTTAATTATTTATTATATTTGAAAAAGAGAAAACAAAATACTTGAGTTTGCGTTAGTTCCCAAAATTGACAGAAAATAATTTGAAACTAACTATGAAGTAGACAGCCACATATGCAGCATAACAGGAGTGACCGGACGGAAATGATAACCTTCATTGCAACATGTGTATTATTATTATTATTATTACTGTTATTGTTGAAATATTTGTAGAGCGCTAATTAAATGAATCTCAAAAAAGCATTCTAGCAGAAACTGATTATAACAGAACATAATTGAAATGACTTATAAGAAATTATAATGCATTGTTGAGAAATAAAATTTTAATTTCGTCCTCAACAGCAAAGTAATCGATGAAATATAACGAAGACACTCAATAATATTTAGAACATGTCAACTAAACTAAAAGAAATAATCAATAATGCATTAAAATTAAAGAAAAAAGATTTTCAGTATCATCAATATGTTTACGTGTATGTATGTATGTATGTATGTATGTATGTATGTATGTATGTATGTATGTATGTATGTATGTATGTATGTATGTATGTATGTATGTATGTATGTATGTATGTATGTATTATTATTATTATTATTATTACGGAAATTTATATACAGCGCTTTTTTATTGTTGAATCTCAAAAGCGCTACTAAATCATAGACAAATAAGACGGACATTCATTGTGCAAATAAATAAGTTTTAAGTTGACTTCGAAATTGTAAATATGATAGGTTAGGGTCACGTAAGTATGGAGGTAAACCATTCCAAACAATCGGGCCAAGAACCGCAAAGTTGCGGGAACCCGTCACCAACTTTGTGGTCGGGATAAAAAATAAATTGCGCTCGGTTGATCGGAAGGAATATTTGAGAAAAAAATGAGATTTGTATGATTCCAATCTATCGATGAGGTAGGGAGGTGCTGTATTATTGACACATTTAAACATCAAAACTGCCAACTTGAAGGAAACACGTTTTTCAACCCTCAACCAGTGCAACCTATTCAAAATAGGCGTAACATGATCGAACCACGAACCACCCAAAACCAGCTGGCCGCACGATCCTGTATTGACTGAAGCTTGAAAAAGACCTTTTGGTGACACCATAAAAAAGGCCATTGCAGTAGTCTAGTCTGGAAAAGACGAAAGAGGAAACCCAAGCTTTGAAGAACAGACGTGTTTAGTGATTTTTTGACATTGCGTAATAAACGGAGTTGGTTGGAGCAGACCCTCACTAAATTATTAATATGTAAATCCATCTTTAAGTTTGAGTCAATAATAACTCCAAGACTACGGACAGATGTGGAAAATTCAATGATGTCATTGCCGACACTGATCGATGAAATTTTGACCTTCGACAGCTGCTGCCAAGAACCAACCGGTAATATTTGTGTTTTAGATTGATTTAACTTTAACTGATTCATACTCATCCAAGATCCAATTTCGATGAGACAGTCAGTCAGTTCATTCAGAGAAGCATCAATCGAATCAACAGGACAAGAAACCAATAACTGAATATCATCAGCAAAGGCGTGGGAGCTGAACTCATATTTTTGAATGATATCAAAAACATCAGCAGTGTACATAAGAAACAACAGAGGTCCCAACACAGATCCCTGGGGGACACCAAACGATAGTTTGTTTATGTCAGAGAGGGTGTTGTTGTAAGAAACCTGCTGGGTGCGGCCTAAAAGATAGGAAGCGAACCACGATAAGACTGAATCAGAGAGAAAAAAATTTGTGGAGAGTTTATACATGAGACGAGTATGACGGACACAATCAAATGCAGCACTCATATCAAGTAATGCCAAGAAAGAAACGCATTGACTGTCAACTGAAGAGAACAGTTGGGAGAAAATATCAATGAGTGCAGTTTCTGTGGAAAAATATTGACGATAGCCTGATTGATTCTTTGGCAACAAATTGTTTTTGTTTAAATGCTGTAACAATTGTTTGATAACAACTCGTTCAATGACTTTAGAAATGAATGAAAGATTAGAGATAGGACGGTAATTTGATAAAACGTTGTCGTCCAAATTTGATTTTTTTAGAAGTGGGGTTACAATAGCATGTTTCAAAGGGTTGGGAAAACTGCTAGTTGATAAACATTGGTTGACAAAAAATGTCAAAAATGGCAAAAAAAGATCCATAAATTTTTTAAATATGTATGTTGGAATCAGATCAAGAGAACAAGAACTGCCAGGGGAGTCACAAACTATTTTACGCAATTCATCTGGCGTGCACATTTGAAAATTTGAAAGATTAACAATTGCTTCAGGTAAGACGACCCTAGAGACATACTCAAACTGGATTGGTTTGTTAGTATTTTCTATAGTCGTGCTACGAATATTATTGATTTTATTGACAAAAAATGTCATAAAATCATTGGGGGAGAAATCATTTGAATGGTTATTATTGTGATTTTTAGATAAAATTTTGTCGAGGATATTCCACAATTTTTTTGGTGTATTGACCAAAATTTGTTTCTTTTTTTGGGAAAATTGTTGTATTTTTTTTTAACGCTAAGCGCCATGCATTTCGATTAATATCATTTTTCATTTTCCTATACAATCGTTCCAGTTTTCGACAATTGCGTTTTAATGAACGACATTCAGAGTCAAACCAAGGGGCAGATAGTACATGAGTAGATTTGACATAGCGACAAGGAGCAACCATATCCACAATCCTCACGATTTCAGAATTAAACAAATCCAACAGGGTATCAGCGGAAGATGAATTGAACGGCCCTGAAATAGGTGATTCGAGAACTAGTGAAGAAAATTGATTTTCGTCAATTTGATTCCATGAACGAGTAAGTTTCCATTTTTTCTGAGGTGTGGGGTGTATGTATGTATGTATGTATGTATGAATGTATGTATGTATGTATGTATGTATGTATGTATGTATGTATGTATGTATGTATGTATGTATGTATGTATGTATGTATGTATGTATGTATGTATGTATGTATGTATGTATGTATGTATGTATGTATGTATGTATGTATGTATGTATGTATGTATGAACCCATAATTGATTAGAACTATAAGGAAGTAATAATCATATCCGGGTTCAGCTTTAATCTATGTTAAACGCTTCGCATAGACAGGTATTTTAACGCTCCATCCAAAATACAGAAAGAATTATATTTTTGAAGTAAAATAAAAAAAGATTGCTATACATAACTCTTATCTAATGGGTCACCTGATACTTCTACAATCCTGTTACAGAGTTCATTCAGAAAACTCTGAGTTTGAAAATCGGTTGGACCAAAGGTCTCAATACAGACTGGCTGAAAAATTTTGCTATCTGCAAAAGCCGCATATTTTGAATTTTTAAAGTCTGCGGTCCTTAAGGCAGCGGCACCGGCCTCCTGTGAGGTAAGATTAATGTACCTTTCAGCCATGGTATGGGGGAACGTAACATCCCATGCAAGGGAACGTCCCTGCGCCCATGGTGAAATAGTATACCCGTCGGGCCTGAGGCTACCTTCCTCCATGAGACCCGTAAATTTTTTAATTGTGGGTATGTTTGCCCTCTGAAAGCACCTGACCAAAAAATCGTTTATGGCCGAGTGTCGAGCCTGTCTACCAGGGCCCAGCCGACAAGAAAGACCATGGTAGCCCAGGGGTTCAACATTAGCCCAAAAAAAACAAAACATATACTTGGTTAAAATGGGTAAACCGAGTCTCAGTCCCAAACTGACACGATCACAAGAGTCGTCCAGCCTGGTACCACAGGCGGAGTTTGGGACAGCCTTCAACCAAGATGATCTCAACTCACTTTTTACAGCCATTATCCTGGCCTTATCAAAATTTGATTGGTTTAAATCCAGCAGCTTAGCAACTGAGCTGCTGATAAATGGAGCATTCCACTCCTTTTGAGAACGGGTTTCGATACTAATCCCTGCTCCGTGGACGGTCCGGAACCCATCAAAAACTTGGGTTCTGAAATTGTCGCAATATATTTTATCCTTGGGCAACAACAAGTTTTGGAAAGGAATCGAGGCAGCAGCAGATGCCAAGAAGGCAGAAAGTGCTAAATCCACCACGGTACCTAAACCTAAGCCACCAACAGAGATGGGCAGGGTTGCCTGTAACCAACCTTTCGGGTCAAGGGAAACGTTGAAAATCGATTGGAAGCCGTCACGGAGAGTTTGATCAAAACATTGAAGAATGAAGTATGTATGTATGTATGCATGTATGTATGTATGTATATATGTATGGATGGATGTATTATGTATGTATGCATGCATGTATGTATGTATCATTTCATGTTTGCGTGTTTATAATTCAGTAAATTTACAAATATAGATTCATACAAATACAATAATACTCTTTTAAAAATATTTGAATTATATATTAGGATACTTTCAATTCAAATCTGGACCAAAATGTAGCATTCCTTTATTTCAGCTACATTAAAACAAAAATCAAAAGCTGAAACTAAAAGCTAATGAAACGTTTCTAAATAGCAAGCAGACCTGGAGTCGGTTATCTTCTCTTCTCGTACACTGCACTCAAAATTTTCCACGTAAGCAAATATGGTTTCGCTGGAGTTGGAGAGAGTGCAGTTGATTTTGCTGTAATCTGGATTGCATACCGTCAGGAAGTGAGGTCTCAATCTGTTTGGTGGATGGAAGGTCACGTCGATCGCAACCATGTGTGTAATTGAATCTTGCGTTCTAATTATTTTTATTGACTAAATAACAAACCTAAAATATTATTTTGAATCTATTGAGAATTATATTTTTGGTATTCTTGCGTTCAGTTAGTTCAGTCGTAAACGCCATAAAACATTTTACGACACAGACGCCCTAACACGCCGACCCATGCATTACGGCATTCATTCATTCACCACGCATCTCTTCATCATACCTTCCTATTGTGTATTTCCCAATATTGACGACAGATTGCTGAATAAAAATTCCGAAAATAAAAATCCCGTAAAATCGATAAATTTCAAGAAAAAAGTGAGGAATGGATCGACTGTCGGTGACCTCGAAAGGTGCTTCCTGCCTGGTGTGATTGAGCACTGCCTCACAAACTGTGACCTGACCACGGTGAAGTATGGGCTTATATAAAACACAACATGTATAGGTTTATATAGACTAATTTTTAGTTTGTTCATTAATTTTATAAAAAAAACAGTGAAAATTTATAATATGATAAGTTATTTCTTCCTGTACAAAGTTTGAAATCTGTTACATCTCAACTCGTATATAGCAAAAAATAATTACATTTGTTTGTTAATACAGTCTTTCATTTGAAATAGAATATGGTGATTGAAAATCGAAATTGGTGGAATCGACCACAATGGAATTCAGAAAAATTGTGAACTTCACGAAAAATACTTTGTTGCTAAGCGTCATAGACTTCCAAATTAAAATGCTCGTCTAGTTATTTCAATATTGAATCAATTTTTCAAAATGAAGAAATTGCTAAAGATTGCAAATGATAAATAACCTACCTACTTACACTCCACATCTATTGTTAATTAATAATGAGCAATCAAACAGACCTACCAGCACGAATGCAGCCGCCACACTGACTCCAACCATGATGCGGTAATCCACAGTGTTCTTCAAGTAGGGATGTTTGATGGATTCGTCGTTACAGAAGAATCCACGTTTGAACGGCTTGTTGATGACCACTTCTAAAACGATCCAGGGTAATGCCACTGGAGATGATGAAATATTCATCATCGTTTTCGTAGTTTTATAAGTTACAAATATTGTAATAAAATAAATCTCGGAAACCATATAATCAATGGAAAAATATCTGAAAGAGAGTTACCAAGAATTAAACTAAGAGCATCCAGAATGATTCTGATTATAATTTTTGCGAACGATGGTGTCATCATGACGCCTCAATGTCAACAGATGTTACAACTGTTCTGTATAATGAAATTTTCGAGGATGTTATGTGACGATTTTAGGCAGTATGTTCTATATTAAAACCATGTACTATTAAAACTTTATGCCTTTATATTGACAAAAATTTCTATGATATGATTGCGTAATATTTTGATTATATTGTCATAGCATACTATTAACGTCACAGATATGACGGATGTGTTAATGTTACGATTGAAATTAAAATGTTTCAATTTTACAAATATAATAAATTCTTTTTAAAGTGTTTATAAATTCGTTATGTTTACAACAATAAATAGCCTTTTCAAAGGCTTTCATACTTGAAAAGAGTTGTGCGAAAGTGCTTGTGCGCGTGAAACACTCACTTATTTTGTCGACAACTGCTATTTAAATAGTTTCAACATCTGAAAACGACTTTCGCAAATAGATGTCACAATATCTAGTTAGCTCAGTTGGCAAATGTGCCAGCTATGTCTCGCGATTGTCTGGTTCAAATGCTGTATGTCCGAAACTCTTATACATTTATATATGTATGTATTATTGCAATACTCGCTCGCCCATGGGCTTTATTTTGATTTTTCACAAACCATCTTCAGTGCATGTTTGGTTTATATAGTTTCTTTAAACAATGTAAAGCTCTTCAGCAAAGTTTATTAGCTGGTATCGTATTCTTTATCTCTGTTGTTGTCCTTCCTTTGTTCTTCATTGTTATTGAAGTTAGTACTAAGGCGTCGAGTTGGTAATGACTAATGATGTTATCATTTTTTGTTGGATGCTTATTTGGGGTTTATTGATATCTATTAGGACAGCTTCTGCAATTTTTAGATGTATTGTGTTGGTGTTTAGATAAATTATTTGTATGTTGTTGTTGAGAATTTGGCGGGTTATTGGAGTTGCATGTGTTGATTGCAAGCGAGATTTCATGGCTCTTCTTTGTGTATGCTTTGTGAGACGTCTTGATAGTGAAGTGGTCGTAACACCAATATACGAATATCGTTGACGCGCAGAGTCGTCAATAAGGCATTTAGATTCATATGTTGCATGATTACGCTTCAAAGTAGAATCGTCTTTAGGAGTGCAGTTGTTCTTTAAGACCAATTGTGTTGTCATACAATTATAATTGTTATACAATTATAAATGCAGAGAGAAAAGAAATAAATCCATCTATGCTAATAGGAAAGCCATTAAAAATTATGAAAAAAAAAACTAACAGATAACAAATATCAAAGTTAACAATAAAATTTTTCAGCTATATAAAGAATAGACAAAATGACAGAGACAGATTAAGAGCTCTAAGAACGGAAATTGGTGCCGTCACTGATGATCACAAAAAAATGTCAGATAGTTTTAGTTTTTCATTTATTAGTGAGATTTTTAACATCTTCAACAAAACCAACCAGCAACTTTAATGCAAACTAAATTATAGTTTAAGTTGTTATGTTAATTACCAAACAAAAAGTGGTTGTTGAACTGCAAAGACTAAAAGAAAATGAAAGTCCCGAAAACAACGGCCTCAATCCAACATTTTTGATAAGGGTGGGAAAGGACATTGGAGTAGCATTGGTAGCACTTTTCAACAAATCGTTCATACGGGTGAAATACCCTAGAAGGATGCAATCATAGTGCCACTTTTCAAAAAAGAAAATCGTTGCGACTCTGGAAATTATAGTGTTACAATTAGCCTTTCTCATAAACATTATATGCAAGATACTCAAAAGAATAATTAGGAAGATAATTGTGAACCACTTGGCATAAAATAGTATCATTACAAGAGCCAACATGGATTTACGGATCGACGTTTGTGCCCAACAAATTTGCTGAAATTTTGAAAAGGTTTATAAAAATATGGACAGCGGAAAATCATTGAATATCGTTTTTAGATTTTTCTAAAGCCTTTGATAAAGTACCGTATAAACATTTGGCCTTAAATTTGAAGCAAGTGGAATCACAGAAACCACACTCAAGTGGACTTTTATTTGATTGCAGGATAGACTGCAAATAATTTGTATTAGTGACAATTTTTCAAGCTAGAACAATTTTTCTGTATCGGGACCACCATTATTTGTAATTTAAATTAACGATAAAATAAATCTAAAATTTCAAAATTTGCAGATGACACTAAATTTTGTGCTGCTGTTGACAACGATGAAAACATTAATATTCTAACAGGCGATTTGTAAAAGCTATTCAAATAGGCCTAGTAATAGAAAATGGTATTTAACATCGAAAATGCACGCAACAAAAAAAATGAATTTAAACTTGGACTGTAATTTGCGGACTGTAATTTGCCCACCCATGATAAAAAGTAAATAACAAAAGTTAAAGGAATCCAGATTTGCAACAAAAGGACAGAAAATTGAAGAAGGACTACCAGAATGATCAAAGAGTGTCACTGTATGTCATATGAAGACAGATTGAGAGTTTGTGGTTTGATAAAATTAAAAAAATACAAATAGAGATTGGATTTAGGCATACAAAATGAAAGAGAATTTGGAACCAATCATTTTTTTGAGTTAAAGATAAACAGTAAAACAAGAGGCTATACTTATTTTTTTTGTTTTATTTTACCCCTTGTCATACCCTTGTTTCCCTTCTTTGTAAGATATTAAAAAAAACAGCAAAAATTGTACAGCTGTGGAGTTTTCAATGAGTGGGACATACTATGGAATAAACTAATATGCGCTGAAACAACTATTAACTTCATGGCACACTTGGCAAAAATAGGATTTTGGAAACTTTTTGTGATTCTGTAACAGACTCAGTTTTCTTGGATCTTTATAAAAATTTTAGTTACGTTATGTTTCTTTATGTTAACCATTTAATGTCCAGGTCTTCTGTATAAACATTTCATTTATGTTGCAAAGATACCATATTTTATACAGTATTGGAAAAATTCTACCGAATTGTTGGCATTAATTATTTTAAAGTTTGTCTTTTCAATTTTCCTTACTAGAATATTTTAAAATTGATCAATGACTTGGATAATAATTTAATTTTTAATTAATTAAACAATTTTCAGAAAATCTTAGTAAAGAAAATCGAAAAGACAAACTATAAATTTACCAACAATTAATGCCAACAATTCGGTAAGAATTCATACAATACTGTATGATAATTTAAACATACATGGTCTGCCATGATTCATTCAAAGAACTGTAGTAGTATGGAGAATCGCATGCAAGTGTACGAGCGTTCGTTTATATATCATCCGCTCTTTTTTTGTAATATCATCCTTGTTTTTGCCTTGTTTCAGTAGAGCTAGTGACTTTTTTTTTCTTTTTTATAATTTATTTGTTGACATTCACATTAAAGAACAGTGTTACATTCATTCTGCTGCCTGCAAACATGGCTGAACCAGTTCTGTGGAAGAAAATTACTTTGAAAGTTGTTCTGGATATTATAAGTTGTGTTTTGGGTTAGTTAGTTGTTGAATGAGAATGACCTTTTTCCATTCAAAGACATGATTATTGTAAAGTGTATTTTTATATAATGTTCTTAAAGGAGTTCTCTATTCTATTATGTTTTCATTTTTTTAGTGTTTTTGTTTCATAAATAATGATTAAATTTTATACATATTACATACCATATAAAAAATTGATATGATTATCATTATCAGGTTTTGTGTAATATGAAGGACATGTTATGTTAGGATTAATTTTATTAAATAAATATGATATAATGATAATGATATTATTATATTATATAGGAGTGAAAGTGAATCATGTTACTTATTTATATGGCTTATTCTCATGTAATTCAAATGAAATAAACTTATCTTGGGTTGGCTCACTTTGTTGGTGTGACTGACAAAAAAAGTTGCTGAAAGAAAAATTTTTTAACCTAAACATTTTATTTAAAATAATTTTTAATTTTTTTCACTTGGTTAATTAGTGGTTAATAGTAATTTGTTGTGTTAAGTATAATATGGTTGATTATTTTTAATTGTAAGAATCAGGTGTTATGTCAGCATGAAAGTTTATATTATAATATGTAATCAACTATAGTATTATAGTATGTACATCAACTATCTCAAGCATTTCTTCCTTGGATCGTGTTGCAAGCAATAAATAAGCCGTTCAGAAGGGGATTCTTCTGCAATGATGAATCTTTGAAGCACCCCTACAAAACCAACACAATTGATGCCAACATACTCACAGTCCTCTGTATCATCATGGGATTTGTCTTGGTTGGTTGGCATGTTGGCTGGTTGGTTGGTTGGCTTGTTTGCTGGTTGGTTGGCTGGCTGGCCAGTTGATTTGTTGGTCAGTTGATTGTTTTGCTGGTTGTATTGATTGATGTTGATGATAATATTTATATCCTTTAGTTTATTGCATTTGCATTTATTCTAATTTAAAATATGCTTCATAATGTAATATAAATTCAATGAGGCTGTAATTTTATGTAAACAAATGCAAGTTTTACATTTGCTTTCTTCAGTTTTTTTTAAGGCATTCAATACAGTTGTATTACTACAGATTGCTTAATTAAAATTAATTTTATTTAAAAAGTAAATTCAAATTTTAAAAATATTTACTTGGTTTTTCAAAGTTTTCCGGATGAGATCTTGTGCGTATTACATGTTTATATGGATGTGTGAGTTTGTCATAATTGCTATGTATTCTGTCGGATGTAAAAATTTTGAAGCAGTGGAAATTTAACTCCCACCCATCTCCCATTGCAAGATACTGGCCTGCGAGTTGGTGACATATTACACTGAGAAGGAGGACCGGGAGGCCCACTTTCAGCTGACCTCGGGCAGGTCCCTACCGTTCTACCTGGTCCGCGTGTACCAGTACTTTGGCATTTTTGTGTTTGGCATCATCGTCCAGCAGACCATTGTCAACATCGGGAAGTATTCAATTGGGAGGTTGGGTTCTCAGATGTTTGTCTCTTATCCAATTTTGGCTTACTATTATTTTATTAGGCTTGTTTTCATTATTCCATTCTGAATATTTTCTGTTTTTAAAAAAAAACTATGTTTAATTTTTGCTAAATACCAATTATAATGCAGTAGCATCATTGCCATCGTAAATCATTACCATTACCATCAACATCATTAACATCATAATTATTAGCATCATCATCATCATTAGCATACATCATATCATCATCATAAACTGTATCAGCATCGTGCACTACCATCATATTCTTGCATCATCATTATCAAAACCATTATTAATCTATTTGTGTTAATATTTGAGAAACAATCTTAAATAGATAATGCACTCATTCACAAACACACGCACAACCTTACAATGTAGCCCAATAGGCACAAAATTTTAAATTAGGACACAGGTACATTAACACTACATGAAACATCCACCAACGGCACAACTTCAAATGAATCATTGGTGTTATTGAACTTGTTATGATATTTGGATTGGAATGACTAAATGTCTATTTCTTCAATTTTTATTCATTTGTGTTTAGTTGCTTCTTATTTTTCAGTTACTTACTTATATATATTTTTATTTATTTATTTATTAACGTCCTACCTCGGGGAACTGGGTCTCTGGATGCTAAACGAAGATTGATTTATTTATTTATTCATCAATTCAAATCAAACATATGTAAGAAATGAAAATGTTATGGAGATCACAAAAGAAAAATGATCTTATGATAGACCACGGTTAAACAGAACAATTACATTAAAAAAAAATAAAATAGTCCTTAAATATAAACAGAATTTTAAACTTAAACTTGCGTGTAGGCTACAAAAATTAATACAAATATAATGAATAGAATCAGCATAAAAACATTGAGACGTAATTCAACAGACCAACCAATGAAAATTAGTTATTGCCAATGTATAAACAGAAAGAAATTCAATGACATCAAGATACATACACACATACATTTACATTTTAATTAATTGTTTATCAAAAACAAATCAATTCTAAAAAAATGAAATTGCAAGCATGAAATGGAAATGATCTGGAGATCAAATGAATTAGTAAATCCTATAAATCCTATCAGGTGGTCCAAAATTAACTAAAATTTAAATTTTGAATTGCAGATTCTATTGCATTTCAGTAAAGAAACAAAAATGCAATGCAAATAAAATTTAAACATCTATGTTTGCATAAATCGATGATTATCAGACGATAAATAAGTTTTACAATGTTGTTTAAAGAGACGAAGTTTTGAGATATTTGTAACAGATGGAGGCAAAATTGTAAACCAAATTTTAGGTGCAAGAGTAAATACGCTATCATTTAAAATTTTTAATCTACTGAATAGTATTACATTACATACGGAATGAATTGATGAATTGACGAGTAGAGTTAAAAATATATGAGAGCTTGAGTGGAAAAATATTTGAAAAATAAGCTGGTAACAAATTATTGACATATTTGAACATTGAAAATGCAACAATAAAATATGTAATTTGTATATTGTAAGAAGATCTAAAGAAGAAAAATATTCATCAACATGAGAAGTAATTTCTAAATATATTAATAGTTTTATAAATTTTTTTGAAGTCTATATAATTTAGAAACATGAACAGCAGGGCTATTGACCCAGATAAGATTAAAATATGATAAATGTGGAAAAACAAATGCATTGTACATCAAAATTAAAATAGTTTTATTAAGAATTAAAATAGTTTTATTAAGTTTGTATATTATTTTGTAAAGAAGACTTAAAGTTTTGTTTACTTTAGAAGAAATAGTATCAATATGTTCAGCCCAAGAAAAATTATCTGATATAATTAAACTCAAAAATTTGGTACTGAAAGTCCTCTCCATTAAATGGTTATGCAAATAAAGGCTTAAGGGACCATAAGTAATGGTTAGGATCTTCAGACCAATAATCATGCAGTTACAATTTTGATGGTTAATTTTTAGTTTATTAGTATAAAACTAGTTAGCAATAAGTTTTAGATTATAATTGAGTAAATCCAAATCAGAGGTGATTTAATTGAATAGGAAAAGCTAGCGTCGTTAGCATAAAAAATAATTTTAAATATGGTTTTAATAGAGAACAAGTGTCTTTACTCATTCGGTATTATTTTTTATTATCATTAATTTTGCTCCTTTGTGATTTAAGTCTGGTGGTTGGTAATGAATGGAGACTTATGTTGTACCTGGATGATTTGCCCTTACAGTTTTTCATTTAACTTTCTTAATTCTTAACAACTTCCATCCAATCATCCATCCATCTATCCGTGCACACAGACTCCGACCTCACTTCCTTTCCCTATGCAATCCAGATTACTCCCAACTGAACTGCACAGTACCAGGACTGATCAGCGACATCTACGTTTATGTTGAGAGTTACACTTGCGTCGATGAAAAAAGCAGGAATGCTGTTGATTCCAGGTTTTTGTTTTTTCAAAATTGTTTTTTTAATGATTCTGCATCACCAAATTACTGCTACATAATGATGAAATATGATATAGATGAACTAGATTAAATCAACTAAACTTTTTGTCAGTTTAATTCCAAATGATTTCAAATGATTACGAATGACTCCAATAATTAAATATTTGGCAGGTTGTCTTTTCCATCGGGTCATTCATCATTTTCAGCGTTTATTGCTGTCTACCTCTGTGTTAGTCACATTTCTTTATTTTTCAAACTCTACTTTGTGATGATTTTCAATTATTGTTTCATTTATTACCATCTCTGCAGATTTACTTGCAGGCTCGATTCACATGGCGGGGTGCAGCCCTCCTGAAGCACTTGTGCCAGGCTGCCCTCATCTACGGGGCCTACTATGTCTGCCTGTCGAGGGTCAGTGACAACAAACACCATCCTACCGATGTCCTCGCTGGGGCATTCATTGGATGCTTCATTGCTGCTCTGGTGGTCCGTTATGATGAGTTGTCGTTCATGTTCATGCATGTTTGTTTGTGTGCGTGTTTTTGCATATTTGTGTATGTTTATATGTATCTGTATTGGGATTTGTTTGGCTGTCAATTATTAATGGACCATTTTTTTCGGTTGAGCGGCATTGAGTTCCAAAACTCAGCTGCAACTGTAGCAAATCTTTTTTTCAAGAATGTGAGGAATGGAAGGCTGCTGATTGAACTAGATACACGCAGAAGACACTGGTCTAAGGGCAATTTAGAGGTTATTTTCTGGTGACCTGAAATCGTTCAGCAGCTTCACTCTTTGAGAACGCAAAAAAAATGTGTTGTGTCTTTTTACATTGAGCCCAGTTTTTTTGTTGTGAAAATTTGTTGCAAAAAAAATGTATTGTGTCTTTTAACATTGAGCCCAATTTTTTAAACTAACATCAATTGGCCATATTTTTCAATGGTCAGCATCATCTGCATACAAATGTCATGGAAAGCTGAATACTTCTTTAACCTGATGACCCCACAACGTAGGTCCAACAATTGATTCTGCAAGAAGATCCGTGTGAGACTCCTACTTGCACCGTAGAATCTGTTATTGGGAACAATCGGTTTTAGAGTTATTGGGGACGAATATGATGAATATGTATCTTAAGCTGCATCATTTATATCAGACAATCAAACAACTTTCTTCATGTGTTGAGAGTCAAACATGCTGAGTTATCAAATTTGGACGGCGCGATGGTGTAGCGGTTAAGTGTTTGACACTGCTTTTGTAGTGACCAGATTCAATTGCAAGAGATCCACATCTATCACGTGCAATGTGTGTGAGGCGTTGCTTCACGTGCATTTTTATGCACTGTGTGTTTGCTGTTTCTGGCCTCGAAAATTGTTGAGGAGAGGTTTCTTGGAATAATATTTGTCAGGTCAGTTAACTGAATGACATCCTTCCCCATCACGTCTTGCACCCAAAACATCCAAGTTGTGTATTTCCAAATACAATCAGCATTTTCGTCTGCTTTCAATAATTATTCTTAGCACACACTCGTACACACACGTACATGGAATAAAATAAACAACTTTAACAATATTTGGTCCCATGCAAGTGTGTGCGTGTGTTCCATACGTTACTTTGTCGTGTTTATTTCGCATCAGTCATTTACTCAGCTATTAAATTTATTGAATTATGGAGCCATCGATCAATTTGCATAGTGACTGTGTATTGACAACTGAGTGGCAAAATGTTTATTTGTGCGGTGTAAGTGTGTGTATGTGTGTGCGTGTGTGTGGTGTGTGTGTGTATGTAGTGAGTATACGTGAAGGATTTGGACTTACAGTCAACCTGAAAAAACAGAAGCCTTACATCAAGTTGATCCCGTTTCGTTGATGGCGGATGACATGCACGCTGAGGCTGCAGGCAGGTTCTGCTATGTTATCGCTTGACGACGACATCACATGACCACTATTGACGTACGTCACGTACGAAGGCTTGACCAATTTCCGCAGGAAGATAATCTGCAGTGCGGACGAGGTGTGAGATCACCGACGTCGAAAGAAACAAACAAGTTCAGTTTCGTCGGGCGGGTCACGTCGTTGGCACGTCGAACTCACGAATTCTTGAACAGATGTTTTTCACACATCTGTCCACAGGGTTCCGTCTTGCGAAGTGGTCCAGTGAGGCGATGCAGGGACAATTTGAAAACAATCTGAAAAAGCATAGCGTGTTGTTAAGCTCTGTCGTGATGCCTGTCGGCGCACTCTGTGCAGATCAGGATGCAGATCAGCGGTCGATGACTTTGTATGACCTCGTTTTTTGCCCGCTGGAAGGTAGATTTGCCAGTTCTGCCCACGAGAAGACTCACCGATGAGGTTCCCCATCGTTCCTATGGGGCAGTCCGTATGTACATGCATGTATGTATGTACATGTGTGTGTGTGTGTGTGTGTGTACACGTGTGCATGTAAGATGTGTGCATGTCTATTGAATTGTATGGTAGATTTGTAGAGCGCCACTTGTTGAGTTATCTTCAGAGGCGCGGCAAAGTTGTAACGGTTTGTGTGTGTGTGTGTTTATGTATGTGTGTTTGTGTATGTAGGCAACTAACAAAACGACAACAGATGTCAGTTATTTATAATTAACAGTTCATTGATCACCACGCACGAGGATGCGCTGAATTTAGCGGTTGTGAAAGTTGCCTGTTGAGCATTCCTTTTATGAATCGTATGTTATTTTTTTTAAATACTTTGCGGGATTGAACACCTGAGCATGTTGTTATAAGTCAGAAGTCAGCATAGTCCAATTAGACTTCTTTCTGGGAATCACCCACTTCATTAAGGAAATATTTCTTTATTTTTTTTTATAAAAGTGTTTGTAACTCTTCTAAATGTACTTAATATACTTGGTTGATTCTTATGATGATTAATATACTTGTTATTCGCGTTTCTCCGTGTGTGAGTATGTGTGTGTGAGTGTGTGTGTGTGTGCGCAAATAAAAAGGTGAATGTACTCTTACATGACATTTAGAAATGTATGACCACGTACGCACAAAGATGACCTTATTCCATCCATATGCCGCATGCACTTTTCTTTTTGATCTGATAATCAGTCTAAATATATTTTATTTGAAAGTCTAATTTATTCCATTAATTAAAATCTCACAAACCACAATCTTCAAATATTATATTTCATTTATTTTGATTTTATGAATTTATAAAAAAGATTATTTTGAAATGTATATTTACTGTTTTCGGTTTACTGTTTTCGATTTTTTCCCACTTCCAGGGCATCCACACAACCAAGTTGTTCTCGCTAAAGTCCGCCCTGAAAAAGCTCGGCTACTACCCGCCCACCCTCCTTAAGTATGCCCCCAACCCCGCCGTGGCCTTCAACAACGTCGAGTCCAATGAGAATTACGGAGGCACTTAATTAATATTATCATTCATTGGCTGACTGATTGGCTGGTTGAGTGATTGACTGATTGGTTGATTGTTTGGCTCAATGTTTGATCGAATGATTGGTTGGTCGGTTGATTGACTGATTGTTTGTTTGGCTGTTTGATTCATTCATTCAATGTTAGATGGAATGATGGACTATGCTGCTGCTAGTTGACTGATTCTGTTTCAACTGCTTTGAAGTTTGGGTTGTTGTTGAGTTGCGGGTGTACGGCTACTTATATATAGGTTTATTTATTTTGAAATTAATTAAATAAGTTAATTGTTTAATTAACTTATCTATTTATTCGTATATTTATTTTGTTAGAAATTTATTTGTCTCATATCTGCATACATTTATCTACAAATTTATGATTTTGCGTTTATTGATTATATTGTTGGTCGTTGGAGTGATTTATTTTAAGGCTTAGTTGTCCTCCCCATGTTGCATGGCCCACCCACCCCAAATTTTATCCATCTACATGATTTGATGTAGCACGTAAAGAAAACAACGTCCTACCTCGGGAAACCGGGTCTCTGGACGCAAAACGAAGATTGATTGATTGATTGATGATTTGATGTAGCACAGCTTAATGTTTGAGGCTCGAACGACTTAACGTTTTACTGAATGGTTGGTCAATTTGTAGTGCGTTGCAGTTACTTCTTCGTTTCAGTTGTTTGCGTCTTTTTTCATGAATAGGTTCATTTTTATCCTGAATTTATTAGGTTTTATTTTTAATTGATTTACTTTTTATACTTCAAGTCGTGCACCTGCGTTGTCCTATCTCGTTGTAATACTTTATCATTGATAAGTTGATTGGTTGGTTGGTTGGCTAGCTGGCAGGTTCGTTGGTTGGCTGGTTAGCTGGCTGGCTGGCTGGTTGGTTGGTTGGCTGGCTGGTTGGTTTACTCGCTGGTTGAATGGCCGGTTAGTTTGCCGGCTGATAAATGATGGTGACATCAGCATTTTAAAACCTGACTTTGTATCTGACTTATCCTTTTGTTTGAATGAGCGAGCGCCAGAGCCAGGAAGATCTAGAATGAGATTAAGATGGCCATTCTCTCTTCGGGTTCACTGTTGAGTCACCAGCCATCCAATCGCATGAAATACGTCCCAACAATTCATTTTTTTTCTCCACGCAAAACTGATTTCACAGTTTCGTTGATGACCAAACATCATCTTTTCTTGTTATACTTTTCATCTGCTGTGAGTTTGTTTGCAAGGTGAGTGGAGGGAGCAAGAATGGAGAGTGCATTGTACTATTTGAAGGACTTTTGCCAGCCAATCGGCCAATGCTTGATTGAGTTGGATGTTTGTAAGCGAAAAATGATGTGATCATTGGATAGATTGGATGGGATTTGTGTTCTCAGGCTGCCTAAAGAACTCTCAGATGAGTTTTACCTATAGGGGGTTTGCAGCAGAACTTGATCGGTATTTCGTTGTTATTGTATCATTGTATCATTGTATCTTGTATCATTAGTTGTTTCTTTGAATTATCGCGTATTGTATTTTAGTTATTTTATTACAGTCGTTCTAAATTATTTTCTTGTATAGTATTTAGGTTGATGAATAATATATAATACTATATAGTATTCATAAAGCTAAACGAAGATTGATTGATTGATATTCATCTGTTTTATTATTTTAATAATTTTTTTATTTATTATTCATTTATTTCATTTCTCATAATATTATGTCGATATTTTGTTCAAAATCACTTTGATTAATTATTCATTCTCTCTTGGCATTTCTTCCAACTCATCCATCCATCCACCCATCCATCCATCCATCCATTCACCCATCCATCTATCCATCCATTTACCTCTATCCATTCATTTACCCACCCATCCATTCATCCATCCACCCATCCATCAGTCAACGTCCGATTATGCATGTGGCTGTGCTTTAATTCTTTAACTGTCATTTTTTGTATCAGCTATATATAGGTAATGACGATATATATATATATATATATATATATATATATATATATATATATATATATATATATATATATATATATATTATTAAAGATCATTTATATAGCGCTAATTAAAAAAAAAAAAAATCTCAAAAGCGCTCACATCAGTAAAACATTATACGAGTGGATAAACAAAACAAAAAATGTACCAAAAATTTTAAACTAAAGAAAATAAATGAGTTTTTAAATCCTTTTTAAAATTGTCAAGAGAAACTCCTGGTATTCTCAGTGGATCTGGCAGAGCGTTCCAAATCATCGGTCCGGCAACAGCAATATCACGCAATCTCGTCTGCAAACGATGAGCTGGTACCATCAAAAGGTTCCTATCATCTGATCTTAAACTGGTGTTCGTGGAGGATGTTTTCTTGACAAACCGATCGGACATATAATCTGGAGCCAAGCCATTTAATGATTTAAATGTTATTAATGCTATTTTATAGACTATCCTTTTATTGATTGATAACCAGTGAAGTTGATTCAATATCGGCGTAACATGATCAAACTTTAGTCTGCCTGTCACCAGTTTAGCCGCACGATTCTGAACTGATTGCAGAATAGCTATTGATGTCTGGGGTAATTTGTAAAACAAGCTATTACAATAATCAAGGCGGGACGTTATAAGAGCACGTACCAATGTTTCTATATCAGCCCTGTCTAAATATCGTCTGACTCTGTACAAGCCTCTAAGATGAGCCAGACTAGAAACTGATATGTGTTTGATATGATCTTTCATCTGGGGTAATTTGTAAAACAAGCTATTACAATAATCAAGGCGGGACGTTATAAGAGCACGTACCAATGTTTCTATATCAGCCCTGTCTAAATATCGTCTGACTCTGTACAAGCCTCTAAGATGAGCCAGACTAGAAACTGATATGTGTTTGATATGCTCTTTCATTGTAAGATGAGAATCAAACGAAACTCCCAAATTTGATGCGGTTTTGCTAAAAGTTAATTCAAAATTTTTTACTTTTACAGAGTGAACATCTAGTTTTGATAGCTGCTGCCAAGTGCCAACCGGGAGCAACTGGGTTTTGCACTGATTCAATCTAAGAGAATTGCTTGACATCCAGCGTTCTACGTCCATCAAACATGTAACAAATCTATCTATTTCACGCTGAAACACTTGGGGCCGGCATGTTACAATCACCTGAACATCATCAGCAAACACATGATAGTTCAATCCATGTGAATTTATTATCTTGGCTAAGTCCGAAGTGTATAGCAAAAACAGAATGGGTCCTAACACCGAATCTTGAGGGATCCCAGAAGATTCCACGTTTATTTCTGATGAAACATCCTTAAACTGAACTTGCTGAGTACGGTCTAGTAAGTAAGACTGGAACTATGCATATGCCGAATCACAAATTCCAAAATTATAATATAACTTCTTCAACAATATACTGTGATTGACGCAATCAAATGCCGCTGTCATATCCAGGAATGACAACAGTGAAATATTCTGGGCATCCATTTCTGAAATCAGTTTGGAAAAAACATGTAACAGCGCCGTCTCTGTCGAATGAAATCGCCTGTAGCCTGATTGGTGAATTGGCATAAGGCCGTTTTTTGTTAAATGAGTCAACAGACTTTCAGCAACAACACGCTCAATAATCTTTGAAATAAATGAAACTGGTTAGGTAACTGATAAACAAGTCAATATGTTTTTTTAAAATGTGTGTTGGAATTATATCAAGAACACTTGTTTTTGATGGTGAACCATTTATAATCCTTTTGAGATCAGTCTGATTAATTTTTGGCAACAAAGAAAGGCAGTTGATATTTGACCTGTTGCCATCGAGTGATGGTCGAGGAATCGTTATTTTTGCTACTATACAACCATGGTCGGAGTATACTTCACTGGGATGAATCGATATCTCAGCAACAGGAAAACTACGGGAGCTGACTATAAGGTCCAGTGTACCACCATGAGAATGAGTTTTGCCTTTCACATGGTTGACCAGATCAAACATATCAAATATTTCTAATAAACGTATTGTATGAGGGTCATTCATTCTCTCCACATGAACATTAAAGTCATCCATCAAGATAATATTCGAGTTCATCATTGTAATGTGTAGTAATAATACTGATATAAGTTCGTTAAAAAATGACGTAGATATTTGTGCTGAACCAGGTCTGTATATGGATAGCAATATGAAATTATATCGTTCTATTTTTAACTTTATTGCAATGGCCTCAAAAGTAGTGAACACCGGCAGAGTTATTTTATTACAACCAAAAGTGGATCGGAAATAAATAACCAATCCCCCGTGTGCAGGATCATGCTGTCTTACAAAATCGACAAAGGAGAAACCAGGTGGCTTGGCCAACCCAACTGCAACATCACCAGCCAACCCATGCCATGTCTCCACTAACACCAAAACATCCATTCCACTGTAAATCAATTCATAAATACTATCAACTTTCCCAACCAATGACCTAATATTTAATAAACCAAAAATCACAAAATCATTTGAGATGCCATAATTATCTTTATGCTTTAAGCTACAATTATTAAAAACCAATGTACTTATATTCGATCTAGCGCCCAATCTACCACCTATTATTGCTATATCTTTCCTGCTGGTATTTTCACAACCCGCCACTTTCCCACATCTCCTCGAACTTTGAACAAAAAATCCCCTTTACTATCAAGTCTTTTTCTGAGCCTCCTCAAGGAATTTTTTTAATTCATTTCTTTGTTCTCTGGTAAGATCATGACTTAACCTTACCTGAGCGAGATCATCACCAATTGTTTTCATTTTACCTATATTTTTAAAAAGTAAATCCTTGAGTCTTGAATCATCAAATTTTAGCAGTATTGGTCTAATGACATGTTCACTTCTTTTACCAATTCTTATTAATTTGATGACATTCTTGTCAGTTATAACACCGTCAGAAAGGTGGTTAAGGATCTTCAAAACGTGTTTTTTGTCAGCATCACCTTCTCTCAAGCGGAAGATCATCATATTATTCTCGCGTTCCTTTTGTTCAGCCGATTCGTTTAATGTTTTTTGCAAACATTTAACCTCTGTATTATCACATCAACATTTTTCTTTACCTCGATACTTATTACATCGATGTTTTTTTTTACTTCACGACTGACGACCTCAGACCAGGAAGATTTTTATTCAGTTTTGAAATTTTTCATTTCATCGCATAATTCTACTCTTGATTTTTCTAACGTACGCAATTCATTATTATCTTCAGCAACAAGTTTCACTTTGATATCATTAATTTCGGACTTCATGCTTTCATTCATTTTATGTAATTTACTTATCTCTTTAAGCAAAACTTTATTATTTTCATCAAAATTCTTTACCAGTTGCTCTACGGATGGCAAGGAATCAATGCAATTATCACATTTAAAGATTAAGTTGCGACATTTCTTTATGAAGTCATAATCTTCACTTGTCATCGACAAACATTTGTAATGAAATGATTTTCCACATTGAGCACATCGCGAACCTGAACAAAGTTCGTGATAAATCAATTCACACAGTTTACATTGTCTTTATTAGTAGTGTTTTAACATTTACATTTGTCTCGGGTACCCATAATGTACGTACACAAAAACAACAACACAAGTAAACCTATTAATTGAACTAGTTTTCAAAACAATGCAGATAAACTTATCCTCGTCAACGAATTACAGACAAGCAAACCAGGTCAAAATTTAAGTAAAATTTTCCAATTATAATTTAGTTTTTAATTCACTAAATTAACTGAATTTAAAACTAATTTAAAAAAACTTATAGAAAAATAACGAACTTCAACCAATTTAAAGCAACTTAAAATTACTTTGAAAGAAAAATAACGCCAGAAAACCGCAAATTAACTCAAGTTTGTTATGAAATACAAGAACTACCACTCGCACAGAATAATTATATATATATACATATATATATATATATATATATATATCAATATATATATATATATATGCATGAATTCATCTTAGTGAGCATTAAAAGCAATAATAATAACAATAATAATAATTAAAAATTAAAAGAAAGTAAGAAAGTAAGGTTAATAAATGAATTACTCCGTTGACTGGTGCTGCTGATGATGATTGATAATTTAATTTTTGATGAATATATTGAATAAATATTTTTTGAATACCTTTAGTTTCTGAGATGTGAGGGAGGTATGTTGGTGGTGGTGGTGGTGGTGGGGGGGTGGTGGTGGTGGGTTTCGTGGGTGCTTGTTAGTTATGCATCCATGTTAAGCTCTGATTGTTATTTTTGTTACTATTCATTATATTTAGCCAGTAACAAGTTTAAAATATTCTATTCACAATAGTAATAGTATTGTTATTGTTATGGTTATAATATTATCCACTATCTCCTTCGTTGTAGCCCACACCCCACATATTTGCTGTACAACGTTTCGCACACATCCCTCAGTTTGCTGTACTTAATTAATTAATTGATTTATTTATTAATTAAGTTAACGTTGTTGTCTGGTCGAGGTATCGATGCATATGTTATTCATTCATTCATTTATTTCTTCGTTCGTTCATTCATTCATTCCATTTATTCATTCATTCATTCATTTAGTTATTTTTAATAAGTGTCCGAAGAATTCTATGAGTAAATCAAAATGCATTGATAATATTTAATAGCTGAAATTGTTGTTCAACCGTTCTAGATCTAATTAACATTTTAATCCATTTATAATAATGCCTGAATAAATTAATTAATAAATTAATATGTTCATGCACTCGATCTAATTAGCAGCTTGTCTCGTGAATCTCGCAGTCAATCAGCTCTCATCTGTTGTGCACTCACCTTAGTTATCATTTGTACACAGTTGTACACAGTTTCACTTTCAAATAAACAATCATCTTAATTATTTCTCTTCGTAAGCGCACGTGTTGTAACCGATGATGTATGTATGCAACTTGTTGTAACTTGGATGTATGTGTGTAACTTGTTGTTGTAACTTGGATGTATGTATGTAACTTGTTGTTGTAACTTGCTGTCGAAGTTCAGTTTTTCAAATAAATTTTTCTCAAAAATATCTCATTGATTAGTTTATATTTTTATTTTCATAATTTTATAATTTATTGATTTATTCAGTTAATTCATTTAATGACTGTATTAGTTGTATAGTCTTTCTCAAAGAGCGTACAACGCTTGATGTGTAGTTGTGATTCATTGTACAACATAAAAAATGTTTGCTAACATACAAGATGCTTGATGTTCATTCATTGTACAACATACAGAATGAATATACACAATATATCAATGAATAAGCGTGTCATCTGCACATACAATGTTTCATATTTCCTCTCCTCATTCGCTCGCTTGCCTGTACAATATATATATATTTACATATTTCAATTTCTTACTTCTTTGTGATCACATAATGTCAGTGTACTTTGAAGTCGTAGAACTAGATAGAAACTTGAACATTGGAGTGAGTACAGTTGAATGAGTTCTACATCAGGTCCTCCCACTGATGTACAAACAACATTCTACAGTGTAACTGTTCACACCTACCCATCCATGTAACTGATGATCGTCTTAATGTGAATTGAAAGATTTTCAATCGGGTCGAAAGATTTAGCTCGGAATATGTGTAGTAGATTATAGGGCCCAGAGTACTAATAACATTGAACGTTGACTCGTTGGTGTGACGTGATAATGATCGAATGTCCCTCGTTCGTTAGGTCAGTTCATTTCTTCTCCCCCCCGACGCACCCGATGTTGTCCGATTGGAGGAAATGCATCTCTTCATTTTGTATTTAAGTTTAAAAGTCCAAGAAAATATTTAAAGTATAATTCGTCATTGCAACGATGATGATGACGATGATGATGACGATGGTGGTGATGATGATTATGATAAGGAAGGATAACCCATTTTATGTTGCGATTTCGTTGTCTATTCATCGATTTTGGTCATATACATTGTTCAAATATTCTGATTTCTGTAAACATCACATGTGTATGATTGTGTTCTGTGAGGCATCATTTTTAATCCTCTGTCTGTATGCGTTTGTTCGTATCTTCCTCTAAGTCTATTTGTCTGTCTGTTTGTCTGTTCGTTTGTACTTATTTGTTTTGTTGTATTTTAATTATGTCTTTCGATGCATCAAATCGATTCAGTTTTATTAAGCGTAAATTTTTCATTTGTATGCTTCTTAAATAATAATGTTAATAACAGTGTCATTTGTGTGACACCCTAATCTTTATACATTTACATTGATTAATTTTAATCAAACACAGACCTAAATACTCAAGTATGTTGAAGTTGGGAATGGTATTAATTACGTTAAAATATGAACTGCACTGTACGAGGCTTTGTATTGTGCACATTTGCTGGGCTGGTGCTGGCTACTTTATGTTTATCATTCAGTTTCGCCGCATTCTTCGGTTAAATATGAATTTCTGAATGGCATTTTTTGTTTGAAACCTATCTAGATTAAACACTTTTCAGAAAAGTGACACCATTTTGAAATTTAATTAACTCCTTTCCTTATTTCATTATAGGTCGTTCGATTCTGAGATACATCATTTTTGGATGAATTTTTCGTTAATTTATTTTATTTTTATTGAAGTTTATTTGTGAATAACTCAACGGCTTTCGTGAATTTTCATCGCTTGAATATAATGGCAATCAAAATTGGTGTTGTCGTTTTTCTTATAAATTAATAACTAATTAATAATTAATTTATTAGTTATATATTCCATTATTCAGTCAATTATTTAATTATTAATTAGTTAAATATTCGATTATTCTGTAAATTATTTAATTATTAATTAGTTAAATATTTGATTATTCAGTAAATTATTTAATTATTAATTAGTTAAATATTCAATTATTCAGTCAATTATTTAATTATAAATTAGTTAAATATTCAATTATTAAAGAAATTATTTACATATCGAACGACGCTCACGACAAATCGATTTATTTGACTTGAGATTATGATTTCAATAATAATTTGTCAAGCCAACAGGCGATTTAATTTTTACATTTCATTGTTACAAACAATATTTAAATTGCTAATTTAATATTTAAATTGCTAATTTAATCTTTAAGTCGCTAAAAATTAGTCAAGGTTGCTTATCAATTAAGCCAGTTCATACTAATAAGTACAATAGATCGCTGTTTTGTTTATCTTCATCTTTTTTTATCTTATTTATTTTTCCTCTACTTTGTACATTCTCACTCTCTCTATCTCTTTTTTTCACTTACTCTCTTTTCTCTCTCTCTCTCTCTCTATATATATATTATGTGTGTGTGTGTGTGTGTGTGTGTGTGTGTGTGTGTGTGTGTGCAGAGGCGTAGCCAGGGTATTTTCGCCCGAGGGCAAACTATAAAATTGATTGTTATTTCGTTGCAGTACGTAGGGATCCACTGGTCCTCACGGTGCCAAACACTCGACCAGCTGACTCAAGAAGAGATTTCTATTGGCTCAGCGATACTAAAATTTGATTATATTATTTTTTATTGTTATAATAATAATTATTATTATTTTTATTATTATTGTTGTCGTTGCTGTTGTTATATTAATACCATTATTTTAGTAGCGGATAATATTGTTGCTTCAACTGGCTTTGATTTTTCACGAACTGCCTTTTTTAAATTGATGTCAAGTTTGTCACCAGCATCGCCGCACGTAACGTCATCGCATGCAGTGGCTGTAACTTCGTGTGTAGGTAAACACGGACACATTACTTTGTTGAGTTACAAGGTGATTATAACGACGACGACGACGATGAGGCGGCATTCAAACGCTTCCACCTACACCCATTATACATTTTATAAACTCATAAAAACAATGGAGCAAGTTATTCAATTTTTTAGCATTTAGGTGAATGAATGCGACTGACACGCATTAAAGCGTTAAAATTCTCACGTCAAATCACTCACCAACAGAATAATAGACTACCGCAATCATGTCATTCACTCATTTAAACAGGAATTATTCTCCACTAGCTAACCATTGAAATGAGCATTGCGATATTGTTTAGTAACATCTTACACGTCTTATTTGTCACCAGACTTTGTCATCTTTTTTTTCTTTTTTATTTTCAAGTTTACTTTATAAAGAAAAATTATTATACATTTTTATTTTGTTTATGTAGACATTTTTTATTATTTATATTATTTTTTTATATATTTTTTAATTATTCATGCTTTTGTTTCTTACGATGAAGGAACTCTGCAGGGCTGGCAGTAATCGATTTTGTATGGAATAAAAACCTGCATTTGTGTAATTTATGTTGAAGTAATTTGATGAGAATTAATAATCTTATTAAACAATTTTTTTCAAATATATTAATTCTTATAATAATAAATTTAGTTACCCATTTACGTATTATATGTTGCTCAAAAGTTGTAATGCATTAATTAAAAAAAACACTCGTTTGCACTGCCTGCTTTTTTTCGAAACCTGGATGTCTTGTTTCTTAACTATCGTTTTGTCATACCAGATTTCAATACCATTCATTGTTTTGCATGAAAAATAAAATAGAAAAAGGTGACACTAAAGCTTCTTTCTTCCTCCAAGTTAAACTAATAATAGGAAGAAAACAATTGAGCAGTTTAACAGAATAGTAAGTAATATGTCAATTGCTATAAAGTTGAAAATGAAAAATACTTGTATTTTCCACACGGCTGTATATTTGAGTGTCACAAAAAGTTGTTCAGTATCAGTTGGAGACAATTTAGAAGAATAAGAATATTGTCATTTTTAACCATATTAATGGATATGTTGGCAAACGTTAAGTCTCATGCTCAACGCAGATAATTATGCATAATATAACAACATAACATATGTTATCTTCTATATTCTATCCATTGAATTATATATTGTCGGAAATTTGCAACTGGTGGTAAGGTAATCTCTTCCTCTATCTTTCTCAGGAAATTTTTTTATGGTCCGACAATAATTTTTTTTGTATATTTTTATCGTGAGTTTGACCAGTCCTGTGTGGCACTGGGCTTTTTCGAATTATATGATTTTACTGAGTAACACACGAACGCGTAAAATATTCGATAACAATTTTATTAATCGACGGAAGTAAATAAAAAGGAATTGAACTAACTGAGCTCTAGAATAATGTTAAAAATAATGTCAATGAACAAACTGGAATACAGGAATTAGAACTTCTTCTTGTTGGGTCTTCGACTTGGGATATGTTTCTTGCCGTTCAATCGTACAACCTCGACGTGTGTGACCGATGGTGGTGTTGATACAACTCCGAGAGATAAATGAAATGAATGAAGAAAGATTACAAAAATCGGAGCCTATGAAAATTACAAACTGCGTGCGAAACTATACCAAAGAGTATAGAATCCAGCAAAGAACCCTAGGTCCACAAATAGCACAAGAAAAACAAAAGAACGAAGCGGATTCGTTTTCACAGAATCCAAGGCCTGTTTTCACTGGGCCTGTCAGTCAGTCGGTCGGCTTTCGCACAACTCTGGCCTGTTTTCACTGGGCCGTCAAGTCTGGTCGGCTTTCGCACAACCAAGGGCCTGTTTTCACTGGGCCTGTCTGTCAGTCGGTCGGCTTTCGCACAACCAAGGACCTGTTTTCATTCTTCACTTTCAACTCCTAACGATAACATCAATAAAAACAACTCTAATTCCAGTGGCCACGAAGGCTCTTGGAGCACTGTTACTTCAAAAAAAGAGAAAATACACTCCAATTACTGTAGGTTCCAAAGAACCTGGGTCCTTCAAATTATCTGCAGCTCCTTTGCCTCCCAAAAAAATTGTTTTTGGGGTAGGTAAATTGAAAAGCTGCGTCAAAGAAGAGATCCTTGAACATCTGGAAACTATTGGACTGACCGCTGCAGAATGCGTACCAGTCTTTAAATTCTCTCCCACTCGTCCTCAACCTTCAACCAGTGATCCATCAACAAAATTCCGCATAACTATTTTTAAACATCAGGAAATGATTTTTACCAATCCTGAAAATTGGCCTATCGGCGTGGAAATTCACCCCTGGTTGTTTCATGCTCGACCACAGCATTTGATAAAACCCACTACAACTTCACTACCAAATCATTATCCTGTCGACCTACCAAATGTTAATACACCATCGCTGGTCAACTCACATCAGCATGTAGAAAACACAGTTGAGGTAGCTTCCATTTTAACTTCTTTGGAAGAATCCACTCAGCCAGTCGAGCCAGTCACGATTGGCCCTTCTCAGCTGGTCGAACCACATAAACAACAACAAGCCTCATCGATGATGAGTCCTCCCTCTGAAGTCAATTCTGCGACATCAATAAATCACGACAATGGCTGTTAACAATACTTATTCCACAATCAATTCTATCCAACAACATCCTCAACCATCAAACAACGACGAAGATGATCAACACTTTAACGCATACAACACCCACATCGACCCCACAAAGAACCTCCTAGATTTATTCACCAGACAGTCATCCTACTACACCACAAGAGATCTACTCAACATTCTAGAAGTCAAGTACATCAACAATCATGATCACCCTCTACCTCTACTTCACATAAACAGCAGAAGTCTTTTAAATAAAATTTCTGACATTTTAATTTTAAATAAATTTTTATCTTATTTTTTCCCCATTATTATTATTTCAGAGACATGGCTGAATGACGAAACCGCTAAACTAGTTCGTATGAATGATTACAATTTTGTTTTTAAAAATAGGTCTGACAGAATAGGTGGTGGAGTCGGAATCTTCATCAGATCAGGCATTGAATTTTCTATGATAAACAATTTGCTTCTGAACGACACCATTATTGACCTTCTTAGTGTCAATTTAAAATTTAAAATTAAACAACACACACGTAAATATTTTAGCAGTATATAGACCCCCCAACACTGACCCTAATATCTTAATCCAAAAGCTCGAACTTATTTTACCCACATTCAAGCCACACATAAAGAGCTATTTAATTGGCGACTTTAACCTTGACCTCAATAAACTCAACAGTGACAACGTCGTTGCTGACTTCTCTAACCTACTATCATCATACAACTTCTTACCTCTTATAACCTCCTCTACTCGCATCTCAACTTCTTCTTGCTCACTCATCGACAATATCTTTACTAACAATCTAACTTCTCACTTATCTGGAATAATTCTGTCTGACATATCTGACCATTTCCCTATATTCGCCATCGCTTCCAAATCAGAAATCTCAAACCATGCCCCTATAAAGCACTTCAGAAACCTAACTGAAGAATCTATAAACAACATCAACAATTTCTTATCGAACTACAACTGGAATTCTTTGACTTTTCTAAAAAATGTCAACGACTGCTGCTCTGTTTTGAATACTATCTTAACTCACTCTCTAGACACTTTGCCCCCTC